GAAAAAGGGAAAGTGTATGTGTGGGGGTGGTGGGGCAGTGGCGTTGGTGGGGTGGATTGCCGGAGAGATTCGTCTGTCGATCATCATCACGTGAGGAGAACGTGCACGAAAAACATGTAGGTGAGGAAGGTGATGTTGGAGATAGCACACTGCACGCTGAGGACGGCGCTGGACTCCTGGGACACTGAGCCGGCTGAGGACAGACATACACAGTATCGATTAGTAGTCTTAAAAAGTGAAAATTATACTCACTAAGCTCTATCTATCTATCTATCTATCTATCTATCTATCTATCTATCTATCTATCTATCTATCTATCTATCTATCTATCTATCTATCTTTATATCTATATTTCTATCTATTGATCTATTGATCTATCTATCTATCTATCTATCTATCTATCTATCTATCTATCTATATATCTATCTATCTATCTATCTACTTCAACTCAATAAGTTTTTTATTCTTCTGATTAATAAGCAGGCTCTCCAAACCTGACGATATGCCACAATCACAAGCCCATAAATACTTGTTATTAATCCCCAAACATCCCGGGCAAACTTTATTATATAGTCCTACCTAACCACAACTGAGCTGGCGGTCTCCCCGTGAACACAGAAACTAATGCGCATGTACATATTTTAAATCGAAATGTTTAGAAATAAAATGATAAAGGAGAAAAGAGAAATGAATAAACAAAAAAATATTGACAAAGAATGATAACTGAAAGAACATACACAATTCAATTCACGACCGAACAGATAAACTAATAAACGGCAGGTTTGTTTTCCGAAAAGCTCTTAACAAAAAAGGATTGAGCAAAACACCCAGACAATTTCAAAATTGATATGAAAAGACAGGCTATACTCCGTCCTCCAAATGGGATTATTTACTTCCTGACATATTATTTTTCCTTTTAACGGGAGGAGCTACTCTTGAGGACCATTTTCTATGTCTGTTGCCCAAGATCAAATCTAAGTACACATATAAGTTAGGCATAGTAAAATCTCTTGATACGCCATTTTATTTTGGCATAGCAACAGCGGTTGCTATGGAAACGGCCGCCATCTTGAAAATAAACAATGAATTTCAAATCCCTAAGGCTTTCTTATTTACCGACCAAATTTGACCAAATGTGGTGAGAGTATACCTGAACCAGACCCTATCAGAGTAACAGCAAGCTTATTTCAATAAGTGCAAACGAAAAATATATGAGAATTTTCCCAAAGTATAAAAAACTTTTAAAAAATTTAGGTTGCGTAATCGCTTGCCAATGGAAAAATGTTAATGTTTTGGCAAATATCTCTCTGTTACATTAATGGCAGCCTTGCCATCTATGTCTCCTGAAAGTTTCATCTCAAAATGATAAAAACTAAGGAAGGAGTAGGGAAAAAACGGCAAAAAAATTTCATTTAGCGAAAACTGAATATTATTGTGAAAATTCACTATATTAACCCGTCGTCATGTTTTCAAAGGCAATTTACGTGGAGAATAAACACTTTCTCAAATGTATCCATGCTATTTTTGGACAAAAAACTGGTTGATCTTCAAAAATCAGTTAACAGAAAATTTGCATAGCCTGACCCAAAATCTGCCAAATCAAGGGTCACTCCTCCCCTTAAACGAAACAGATATTATGTTTGCTGCGTTATAATCATCTATACATTCAGTTCGTTAAAAATACGTTCGTAATATTCTTGTATTTCTGTCCTTCCCGAGGTTTTGGGAGACTAGAAAAGGACGTTGGCATCTGTCCATCAGGTGCATAGCTCTGGCTAGTCCTTTTGCTACCTCAGAATGACAAAGTTCTATCTGCTCAATAGTTACTTTTGAGAAATTTGACGTCAAAATGATATTAGTTTCACAACATGTCAAGGTTTTTCGAATGCAATTCTTTGAATATCTCGGCAACAACTCCGAATATCCGTATCCTTTTGATAGAGTACGTGGGGAATTTTCTTTCTGATTTCATGGTCTAATACCTCAAAAAGCACAAAAATGTCAGATAGAACTTTGTAAATCTGAGCTAGTCCTTTGCTAGTCAATCCTTTTTATAGCCAACGCCCACTTCTGCCATCTATTAGAAGGCTAGAGTTTCGTACCATCCACTTACTTGGCGCTACGTAGACTTACAAAGTTCTGTCTGACATTTTTGGCAGTCTTGAGTTATTGAAACCATAAGGTCAGAAACCTGTTCTACCTGCTGGGTTAAAATTGTAAAGTTATTCGGAGTAGTATCAAGATATTCAAAGAATTGTATCTGAAAAAAGCTTAAATTTTGTGAAACTCAGTTTTAACGTCCTTTTTTTCAAAAGTGGATACGTGGGCTCTCATGATCTAGGGGTTACGGTGTTTGCCTCCAATTCAATAGATTCCAGGTTCGAAACTTGACATTGACGGAAACATTTTCTTCTTTAAAATATTTCTCCTTTCACCTCCTTTTCTGCTGCCAAACTATGCTCTGTCGTCTGCTTTCTTTTCTATTTTCCGCCACCACCCCCCATTCCCATTTGACCCTTTTTTGGGCTTCTGAATATTTTTCTGCAGCCTTTCTACTGCTACACTTTGGCTTGTTCTTACTGCTGTCTTTCAGCCACATCCATGATCTTAGGGAAGTAAAGATCTAACGCCTTGCCCTCTCAGAAAAGGGATACAATCTAAGAGATCCCGTGTGCAAGCTGTGCACGTTATAGACCCCTTGGTGGTCCAAAATCGATAAGAATAGGCATCAGCCGCCATTCTGGCAAGATTGAAAATTAATTCCTACAAAACTGAAAATGTTTTATGTGTCCCGCGCTCACATGACCTTATGCAGTAGCGGGCGCTGTAAAACACTTACCAAAAAGCAACAACAACAAAACCTAGGTACTGAGAAAGTAGAACTTTGTAAAGCTACGGTAGCGATGTATTTCCAAGCCTGTTATCTAATTAATACCGACCATTAACCGGGTGATCCCAACCACCCACCAATGTTACCAAATTTCTTACTTGTGGGCCATACTGCCCAGATTGGCAAGCACTGGTGTAGACCGATGCTGACATTAGATTCTCTCTACTTACAAAAGAATGGATTTTATTTCTTGCCCTGAAGTTTTAATGAAACGAAAAGTCGGAAAAGCCGTTTCGCAATCATCCAAATTCCTCAAGCACATAATTCCTATTCTATTCGGGAACCGCAATTTTTGTAATTGCAGTACCCGTTACGACATTTCGATAATGTTGATTGCTTGGGCCCCCCGCGTTCGCTGTCCCTACTAGTTATACATAATTGTAAAATAGAGCTTTGAAATCAAAGTTGAGTTTAATCAAGCCCTAAAATTTTTCCTCCACAAACTGGATCTTTTCCAAGGACTGTTCTCTTTATTCCAAAACTTACAGTCGTTTTTTTTACCCAGTTTTGTCTTTTAATTTGAGATATGACAACGTAGTTACAAAAGGAAAAAAATGAGCTCATAGTTGAGTCGACTGTGTCCGTTTAAGTAATTTGTGAAAACCCTTAAATAATTTTGACCAAGCGGCTTCCATTACCCTTTAACTTTGTCGATACAGAGGTCGATTTTGCCGTCGTGCAAATCGCTGACAGTCCAAAAAGAAAATTAATACTATTAGATGCGGTCTCTTAAACTATGCTTACCTCGTTTCACATTGTTAGAGCCAGCTGAAAAGAAATAGGGAAAAAATTATAAAGAAGGGAAAATAGATCACGTTAAAAATAAGATAAGTTTAATAAAAATGAATGAAAAAAACAGTGTACATACAGCCTAGAGCAAAAACAAGCTACCTCTAGAATATCATACTTATGGAATAAAGTTGCGCTAATAATGGCTTAGTAAGACATTCACAAACTGTATTCATTTTTACGAAAGTTAATAAAGAACCTGCTGAGTCCAAAAGTTAAAAATAGGAAAAGTCCTTTGTAGGAATAATGTGGGTAAGCTTGTTTTTTACATGACCTGTTCTGCTGGGAGGCTCTTGGGTTCAATAATGCACATTTGACTCATGACAAACTTTTAGAGTTTAAACTATAGACCAAAAAAAGAGCGCCCATAGAAAAGATATACCAGAGGGAAAAGAAAAGCGTAAAACACATCTTTTAGAGTCAGCTGCACGTAAAATATTAGGTTTAATTAATTAGATCTCATAATATGTAAGAACACATTTGTCCTTTTCTGATGGATTTTTAAAAATTACTACATGTATTTTGTTTACTTTGCTTCATTCCTTAACCGTTGTATCTGAGAGTATATAGGTAACATGCTTACGCACATGTTTGTGTTTGTATGTGTGCCTGTGTGTGTGTGTGTGTGTGTGTGTGTGTGTGTGTGTGTGTGTGTGTGTGTTTGTGTGCGCGCGCGTACGTGCCTGATGCTTCGAACGCAGTATACGTCCATAATGTATGCAACAATAATGTATGTGAAGTGAAAGCAAAACTTAAAACTAAAACTTAACGATAACAATATTTTTATCATGAGTTCTCTCTTACCGGACTGTACGTTGACCTGTGCAGAGGTAGTAAGTTTATGATCACGTGACCTGCAGGTATAAAGTCCTGAGTCGTCAGGGCGAGCTTTCGTGATCTGTAGCTTGGCGCTTAACGTTTCTCTGTGGACAGATGCAGATACGTACAGGCCATTAGTGGTCGTGGTTTCTAAAGGATAGTCCAGAGGAGGGAGTGTGAATAGGAGAGGTTATAAAACTTAGTGTGAAAGGTAGGTTGGGACAATATGCAGATGTTATGCGGTGACTCTAAAGGAAAGAAGAGAGATAATGTGTGTGTGTGTGTGTATGTGTGTTTGTGTGTGTGTGTGTGTGTGTGTG